ATCTTTACCGTATACAGAGGCGTTCATCTTGGAGACGCTGAGGAAATCCTCAATTTCTCCACTGTCTTTGCCCCACGCTACCACCAAAGACACTATTCTGTATGGGTATCATATCCCCAGGGGCACTTGGGTGATCCCTAATTTGTTTTCGATAAGTCACGATGAAAAATTTTGGACAGACCCCCATGTTTTCAGACCAGAACGCTTCTTAACGCCAGAAAACACTGTGGATGAGACCCTCGCCAAGAGTTTCCTTCCCTTTAGTGCCGGCAAACGGCGTTGTTTAGGGGAATTACAGGCGCGCTGGGAACTTTTTCTTTTTGTCGCAACTGTCGTTCAACGTTGTCACTTTGAGAAAGTGCCCGGGGAAAAGTATGACTTGGCTCCTGAATTCGGACTGGTTCTGCATCCAAAACATTTTAATATCATAGCCAAATCGCGTTAGTTCGTGCTATTGAGACAATGATGACGCTGCATTTTACTTGGGCGTATTTTACTCCATATTGAGTAACTAGATAAATGAAATGCATACAAATCCCCTATGGTGTTAAAACACGTAATAGGCCTATTATTAAGAGATATCATAGAAATATTCATCATAGCATGTGGCCTATACATTGTGTACAGTACCTAATACAATGTGGCCATGCAGGTTTTTGGTTAGCATAATAAAGGCTTGGTCAAGCAACATCCCAAAGACAGTTTATGCGACTATTCATACCTATCTATATTATTTGTGAATATCAACATGAAAAAGCACTTAAACACTATATTTTACAAAATTAAAACAAGTTTATCTCGCATAAAACACATAATAATTTTCACATTCATTGTAACATGTTGCTTGGAGTAATAAAAACATAAATGTGCTAGTAGCAGAACAAAACGAAAAGGAAAAGACTTAATTAAGAGGAACATTTTTTCATTTGAGTTTTGAGCACTTGAGAAGGTCACATACGTTGTACATAGAGCTTTTTTTTTTACTTACAATGTGTGTGTGTGTGCGTGTGTGTGTGTGTGTTCACTGTATGAAGCACATATGTTTTCAATCACGTTTATGTGCCACTCTGAAGAAGATTCTATTTTACAATGATAAGTTGTGGTGTCCTCTCTAAAATAGGGTGTCACAATTACAGCTTACAACACCACATTTTTATACATACGTGTCCCTTGGCAGACTACCTGTAATATGAGGCGTGACTTGTGTAATGTTGGTTCAATCTCGTCAAAATCGTGACCTTCAAGTGTATCACAGCATACTTTGCATTTAGGTCTACAGCCTTTGAAATGAATATTGTTAACGTTGTGAAATTATGTGCGATAGCTTGGATTGAAAATAAAAGCTGCCACAGACTGAATAATGCATTGCGTTTTCGCATGCGACAGGGTAAAATGAATTATAATTTATCACTGGGGGATCAAGAGGTTGAGGTTGTGCATGTAAGCACAACTCCTCCATATTTCATATTGCATAACAAACACCGTCTCTTTTCCGTTCTTGGCATCTTGGATCCATCTCCGTCTAATAACATAAGAAATATATCTATGAGGTCATATGCTAATGCTGAAAGGGTTTGCAAATTTGCATGTAGTTTTTGCTTCAAGCGATAGGTAGCGACTGTTGTCACATTCCATGACTTTACAGAGAAGTAGAAGAAGGCTATTTACGCTTCTGGTGATTCTGAAAAAAATGTTTGGGAGTTCTACTTGTTCACTGGACATTTTTTGTTATTTTTTGTCCTGGTGTTTTTCTTTTAACTGTTTAATCTCCCATACTGACGTTCTTGCGTCTTAATGTCTATTCCTGCAAAATTCACGCTATTTGAACAAAATCGCATTTACACATACCTCAGTAACGGTGTAATTTCACCTTTACTATTGTATAAAAACACATTGTATAAAAAGCGGTCATAAACTGAAACCGAATTGCAGACGGAGATGAAGCAAGAGAACGTACCGTACACGTGAGATGGAGAGTATTTTTTTTAGGTAGGCACATTGTGGTTGCTGCGCTTTCTAACACAATTTCGATGGAATGAAAAGCAAGAACTCAGAGGACGTCGCAAACGTCTTTGTGACCAAGACCAGTGTTTATTCCGTGTATTACCTGAGAAATCGATTGTGCTAGGGGTGAAAGAATGCGTAAATTTGTTCTTAATTTTCCCTTCAGTGGCGCTGTCATAAATTTCAACGTAAACGCTACTTTGTTAGAAAATATCTCTTAAAAATGGAACTACTATTTATAGTAATTAAGCCAGTGGAATTAAAACTATAGGGACCTTTCTGCTTTTACGAAAGAGATTTTTTATGTCTTAACATTCTGTGAGCTTCTTATCTCTTTAAATTCAGAATTTAAAATTATACAAACCTCCAGTTAAGGTCCCTGATGTCGATAGGTACACAAAATATCAAGATCAAGTGCAGGAAAGAGTCGAATAGTTTGCGAGTAGGAAGACATTGCTTTTTTTATCGAAGAAAATTAGATTTGGGCGAAAAATAGCCTTCATCTGTAGAATTCATTGAACTATGTACTAGCTGATGCAAATATCTTCATGTTTTTCAGTCACAGTCTTGCAAGAAAATCCAAAACATTACACAATTGTTTTTAAATTAATGTTAACGAAGCTACCACTGAATTTCCGAGTTGTTGTTTAGTAGGTTATCTGTAACTGGTCCCTACTTTTTCGACCATTTTGGATAAATATACTTTTTGTCAGCATAACTCTAAGCCCTTTTTATTTAATGCTTTATTACATATCAAAATGCTAAACTAAAACATTAACATTGACAAAGTAGCCACTTTGAAATTGATGGCGTTATTTTGTGTCTCACTGACTTTAAATTAGAACGGTCGAACAGACATTCATCAGCAGGCTGTACGTCTATACAGTATGATGACTTTTCTATTGCAAGGGGGAATGTTTGAGTTAAATTATAGTAAGAGTATAATTATTAATCCTTTATGTTCAGTTTGGCAGGCTGCGGGCGGGTGAGCAATTGCTTTCTCTCAGTCCATCAGAATTCTTTCACTTTTCCTCAGTCAGCGTCAACGTTTCAAATATAAGGCAAAGCATAGTTTGATTTCGGCTTAATCTCCTTCACCTGAAAATGAACTTTACTTTTTCTTTTCTCAATAACAAATCTTTCTGGCCGATACTTGGGAAGGTAGGACATTCCTGACGACGCAGCCGATGTCAAGTCACTTCTCCGATACGGTCTCTCCACCCGCTGTTTCGGTGCGTAACGGTACGAGTTTCTATAAGTGGGTAAATGGTCGCGTGTCACAGGTTTACAATATATACAGTGCGTTTTATAACTTTCAGCGAGAATGTGGCCCAAATTTGGTGCTACTAAACTCCTCGGTGTCGCATCCACGGGCGGAAAAGCATAATTCTGCACTTTCCTCGCAAGAGCTCGATTCGTTTTTTCGATGCAATAAGAGCAAGAACTTGGTCCAAGGACATCGCAAAACGCCTGGGAAAATGTCGCATTTCGATTCCTTGCACCTCCGCATCTCGTTGGTTCGTAATTTCTAGGATGTGTCTGCACAAATGAAGGAGTTCTTTTGCCAATGAATTCGTCGATAGTTTCCTGAGTAGGAGTCACGACGCGATCCTTCCACCTTGCCGTATAGTTTGGCACACCGTAAGGGACTAGTTCAGCCTGAGCAGGCCTCTTGAGTTTTTGTATTAACTGATGGGGAAGGCGATGCTTTGAGGCGGACTGCAGTCTGGATCGCAAGATCATCTCCTTTTCAACTTTTGCGTCTAAGTTTTTGGGTAACTGGCCTTCCCCAGTCGACGTATCCCAGTCTTCTTGGATCATTTCAATTGCCTCTAATGCGTCTGAACTGCAACAGAGAGAAGCGCCATTTCCGTACAGTGTGCTTAATGCAGGATGCGTCTTTTGATTTAGAAATCTTCAATTTTGTAGAAACCTTTTTGCATAATTGCTTAGCCTAATGAAATCGAATAGCATAATTGTTTATTCGTTAACTTACCGTGTTATTTCCTAAACAAAAATTAAGGTAATCATTTTTACTTTACAGCTAAATTCTTTAATTTTTTAAGCGTTCTTCTTACCTAACCAGAGACAGCAAAGATTTCGCTCTACGGTAGGGTTCTAATCGACTAGGATCAACACCGGAATTTCTTCGTAACTTTCTGATTATCTGTCCTTCGACTAAAAGAGTGTTCTCTCTGGTAGGAGGATTCGAAGCGGATGATGCTATAGAGAAGTAATCACTGGTGGGAGAGCTCGCATTATCACCCACGCTGAAAGCGGTCATCCTGACGGGAGGAAGGGCTTTCACTCGTGGCGAATCTGAAAATCATAATGATAGGGCAAGATTGAAACATTTTTTATTTTAATTCTTAGACTTTCATATGATTCAGACCTGGCTTTGGTCAGAGTCAAGAGCAGTTTGCAGAATAAAACATAAAGATATATTTCAGCCTCTCCATATAGTGTTTATACTGCTTACACATTTTATACTCACTTTAGACTGACATAAAAAGGAAACTTAAATGTTTGCGTTTTGACAGCTGTTGCAGTCCCAATCGCACTGAATAAGAATGCTGAAACTGAACGAACTAATTTAGTAAAATCCCTCTTTTCGTCAAACCTTTTTGTTTTGCTTCTTGCTGGACTAGCCCTGGCCCAGCCATCCTCCTGCCTGGCTAACACCAAGTGGACATACAGTGTGAGTGTACTTTCTGCATATGCTTCTTCTTACCAACAATTTGTTTTTGGCAGGTGTAGTGCATACATGATGCACTGACCTCATAAACAGCGGTGACACGGAATAACTTACCCGGTTTGTACTGTTGATGAGAGCCATTTAGTTGTGTGGCTTAAGTAAACCGCGTTGTGCATCTCTAACCCCTAAAACTATAAGTATCCAAGACCAAATTTACACAAGACACTGTAAATTGATATCTATCAAAACCAAAGTCAAACATAACCTCTCTAACCGAAAAAACAAGGGACTGAAAATTAAAGTAAATTGTCAACACTTACCCCATTATGTCCATTCTTTCTTCCTGCGCCCAGGTCGCTGTAATGAAAACTACACCGGGGCTCGCTTGATGCAGTTCTTTTTCGTTCTTCTGGCTAGGAGTATTGTCTTTCTTTCAATTTCAATAGTTCTTCACGGTTATTCGGGTTTCCCGCTCGATACCTTTCAAGGCAACACGTCCACCGTTAAACTCGTATTATTACGATGGCGCTTTGAGTTAGACTGAATAAATACTGGCATTTAAAGCGTTTGTGAGTAAGCAGTTTTGTTGTTTTTAGAAAAAGAAAATTCGACTGTAGAAGCGACGCAAAGCGCATTCACAGTTCACTTGAACTTTTTGGTGCATGAATTAGGAGTGAAACCTGCGTTACCTCGGCCCAAGGTGTGTTACACAATGTGCGAGTATTAGTTCAAAAGACCGTGAACATGCCTGGTTGTTGCCTTCATTTTATTATACGCATTCACAAAATCATTACATAATTGCAATCTGCTGAATAACGTAATTTGCGAAGTACCTGACAATAAGATTAATGAAATTGTGGGTAGTTAGTATCAATGGCCACGTCACCAATTGGTTGTAAGAGCCGAGCTGACCATCCAGAATGCCATCACAACAGTAAATAAATATATTAATACAGCCCATAAACTCCAGTCTCCATCTCCCCTTTTTTTACCCGTTGTATTGGGTAAAATGGAAGAAAATTTTAAGTTTAAAATATATTATTAACAATTAAATGAAATAAAGATGTATAAGCCATTGTAAAAACAATACACAAAAACAATTTAATCAATTGTATGCATTTTTTTTATATTTTGCATCTGTTTATTACCAATACAAAGAAGCACCTCTACCTAGAGGTGTACACAGTATAATATACTTGTCAATTCAATACCAAAATTTTAATAAACAGGAGAATATGGGCATTATCTTTCCATGTGCACTCATTATTTTAAAACAAAGCTGAAAATGAAGTTTTCTTCATATCAAACTCCACTAGGAAAAAATACTTTCCCAAATAGCAACATAGACAGAGATAAGGTTAATCGTAATGCTTTCTTAATATCACCTTATGTATGTTCTTATTATTATTGCACCATACTGTTCCCATCATTAGCTCAGAGATCATAAATTTCATGAATATGGACATCTTAAAACAGCTCCTGAAAAGAATATATAGATTTTTAGGGCCATGATATATTACTTTTTATACCCACACAATCATGAACTAATCCTATCTACACAGCAAACCCTTTGTTTCAGTTAGCAGGAATTAGTGAGAAATACTAGCACGCTAATGTCCAGAACATAAAAAAGTATCCTAATGGCATTTCACATATATCACTGTAAATTGCACTCTGAAAAATACGCAGTATAAGCATTAAATCAATACACTTTATATCTGTCACCAGTACATACCAGCACCAAACGTAGACGATTATCTTAACGTTTAATATGAATAATAAATACAAAGGCACCATTATGAAAATAAACAATACATTTCAGTTACATAAATATCATCTGTATCATTTGCTGGCCTGCTTTGGCATCAGAGCCATATTCAAACATACTGTTTAAATTTGTTCAGTCATGGTGTTTTGTGAAAAAAGGCATACATCTAACAGGTTTTCAACATGATAATTATGTCATTTCAGGATTTATTAATAATTGTGATACCCCCTCTGGGGTAGCGCTAACACTCGCCAATTTAGCCAAATGCTAAAACTGACTTAGGGTGCTTTCCCAGAGATTTAGATCGATCAAAAGATTAAGTTTTAGATCGACCTAACTCCCTGGGGGTTCACGCTAAATTGCAGTCAGCCGAGCGGGCACCATAGTTAATTACCCCCTTACAGCTTTTAGTAGGCGGGACAGACGCTTAAGCCGGCCAAGCTGACAGTAATCTAGTGAAACTCCCCACAGGGATAGATCGATCTAAAAATCTATGGAAATGGGGTGTTAAATTGGCTACACAAAATAGGGTTGGTTTGATTTGTTTTAGTCAAATTTAAAGCATATAGAGGAAAAAGTGATGAAAAAATAGTGATTTGGCATAGTGAAAAAATTTGCTAGTGCTACCCCAGCCCCTACATATCTCCCTACAAAAACACGCAAAACAGGTTAGCACAGACACTTGTCATTTTTAGCAGTATTGAAACTTTTGTGGAAAAGCAGCCATACAAAACTGCATAGATTAACTGTGGACCCACACCTGTCAATTCTCAATATGTACACTTTATAGGAACAAACAAGTAGTTTAAAATATTAAAACATCTCATAAGGAGCAAAATATGTTAAATGGGGCCCTACATATGGATGTTATTTCGCATAAACACCCCTCTGAATAATTTTAAAACGGTTCAAAACCAATCAATGCAGTTCCAATTGTTCTCTCACAGTACAGATATAACATTCTCAAACAAACACACTTCTCAAATGTTTCAAGAGATGTTGTATATTTTTAGACACTCAGCTTAGTTTTTAGTCCAGTCTTATGAAGAAACCCATCATCACAAAATAAAACCATGTTCTTTGTTGTGTCACACTTTCTCTGCTTGCTTATGCCAGTTTCCTTAAAGTGGAATGTTTCCAATACAACTTCATCATTCTGTGCACCAATTCAAACTTGATACTATTTACAGCTGAAAGTCTCCACAAAAGCAAAAAAAAAAAACTTCACTCAATGCTTCATAATCACATCATTTTGTAAACAGTTCTTCAAAATGGTCTATCAACAGTTTAGTGAAGGAGTTGATCTGTGTCAGGCTGGCAATAGAGGCTTGGTTCCGGGACCAGATCAAGTTAGGACCAAATACAATAGCTAGGTTCAATGCTGTCATCATGTTCAGATCTGCTTTGGCTGCCACCTGAAGAGTGATAGATAAAGTTCTTTTAAATGAGCATTAAACTGTGAGAGACCAGCAGCTAAAAATAAAGATCTTACAGAAATATTTCTTAAAAATAAAGATCTTACATAAATATATATTAAAAACTTGGTAAAACAATCTTTTAACATATTGAAATTTCTTACAGAAAGATGCTAAAACAATTGTTCGGTATTTCATGTATAATCATTTGCTATCTTTCCTAGTTAAAATAAGCAGCACATACCCATGTTATAAACTCTAAAATGTACTTTAGTACAAAATAATTCTCCTCTGGCAGCTCTGTCAATAGTAACTTCTGGGCTTCAACTATCTGAGCATCCTTGTTCAAGGCTGTTAAAAATACCAACATGAAAGACACTTTCAAACAAGGAAATCCTACTTTCTATCAGTATGTTATAGAAAATTTCCGAATACTAAAGAAATGTTAAATCAGTTGAATATTCATCAATAACTTGAAAATAAGTTTACTTAACCAGAGAAATTTTAATTTAACAATGTAGGCATCATATATTTAAAATATGTTCAGAAGGAAAAGACTTACTAAAATTCTACATGGAATAATTAAAAACTATATAAACCATAATCACGTCCTAAACAATCTATAATAACAAGTTCCCTCCAACACTGTGATCAGACTCACCATGTAAGTTCATGAGTTTTGGATAAAGTTCAAAGGTCATAATTGGTTCTGGGAGTTCTCTGAGGAATGACTTCAGCAGCACAGCAGGAATATTGATGTCATATTCTGCAAAATCTATTTCTTGGCCTGTAAAGACAATATTAATTGAACAAGTGGTATTAAAGTTATTTATTTAGAATATTTTGCTTTTATGTGACTTCACTTTCAACAAGTTATAATTGTTTTTTAATACTGAATTGCCCAAAGCATTTTCTGCTTTGGAATTTACTGTTTATGAAATAAAATAAACTTCATCTGCAATGGTCTTTACCTTCATTGAATTTTTGCTGCATTTCTTTGATTAAGTGTGCATTAGCAGATCTTCTAAATATCCCTTCCACCTCAAGACCTAAAATGAAATGATGACAGACAAATGTCACTATTATCTCACTACAAGCACACATCATACATCAAGAAAAAAACATGCAGATATCATAAGAAATAAGCTAACAGAAAATTGATAAAGGATCTGCCTTGATAAGGGGAACTTAACTCGCCTCCTCCCCCCCCCCCCCCCCCCACACCCCCTC